ACTACTTGACCAGTCCGTATGTATAAATTTAATTCATTTTAAAGTTTACAATTAATGTCAGCTTCAGGAGCTAGAGGGTGGATAAAATGGTATGCAGGCTTATTATGTATTTTCTGCCTTTTTATTTTAATGTAGAATTTGCAGTTTTCATGCAATTCATTAACCAGTTATTGTAACTGATGATACGTTGTAACCATAGATATTATGTTAATTTCAACCCCCAATAGTTTAGCATTAAGAGAGGTTATATGCTAAAAATCGGGGTTCATTACCTATGGTGAGCACAGGACAGATAGCCCATTGTATAGATACAAAACAAACAAGTTACTTTTGTTCTAGCTACCAATTTGTTCTGTATCGTTCCCCTAAGATAGCACTTTACCCATCCATGGAGAAATTAGATTTAAAGTTGTACTTAGTGTAAGAAAGTAGACACCTGTTTTCTAAACTAGTCGATCAAATGGTACTTCAAGATTATAATTTATTTTCTTTTATAATGGCAATGAACAGTCACGTGAATGGTGCAAGTCGCTCTGAGAAAGCCTGATTACTGCTTTCCCTATGTAATATGTTTTCTCACAGTCTAGTATAAGATTTAAAACTAGATAGTCTATAGAGAGGAATTTATCAGTCTAGACTCAATTATCCAGTAAAGGTGATCGTCTTCTGTGTTAAAACAAATACGCATGCTGTTTTGAATAATAAAGGTTATTCGTTGTGTGTTTTTTTTATACAGTCTTTTTATTTCTAATGAACTAAATCAGACCCAGAGAATTCACAACTATTCTGTGATAAATATATTGTTGAATCTCCTGCTGACCTATTTTGTAGCTCTAATTCTTGAGAAAACAACAGATTGTGATGGAAAGACACATTGGGATGCATATAAGATAGAGATGGAAATCATTTCCAAGGTAAGTATGTGGAACAGTGAAAGGGTGTGTGATTGGTTTGATCCTTGCATTTGCAAGTTCAGTTTCTATATGGTAGACCCTGGCATTGGTATTCTTTTGTACGTTGATGGTCTTTTTACATATATAATCCTTCTGTACTTCAATGATGTCCTTTTTACTTCTTAAATTTTATTATTATAATTTTCTTTACATCTTCCATGAATTTTTGGACTTCATTCAGTATAGCTTCTTCGGTTTTTCCTATTATATTCTACGTTATTCAAGTGCTTAATTTGCGAAATAGTGCGAGAACTCACAAGATTTGACGAAATTGGGGACTGAATTGTTTCGTGTTTAATTTGTGTTCTCTATTTGCAAAAGGTTTCGCAAAACTTATTGCAAAATGGACAAAACAGTATCAGATCTTTCATAAAAGAATAGTTATAACTCTCGGTTTCGAAATGAGAGAGAAATTTAAGCAGCATCCCAGATTTGACATAGAGGAAAACGTATCTGACTTCGAGCAATAAGGAAAACCTTTCACAAATAAAGAATACATACTTACAAGTCACTGAAAGCGTATAAACATTTAGAAGAAGATATTAGTGAAGAAAACGAGCAAAGTTAACAATTAATGACGGTGAGAAATATTTTGTTCGGACGAAGGTTATGGCATATACAAAACTGATATAATCGCTAAAAAGTACTAGTGCAAAAAAATACCAGTTGTCCGATATTACCCATGCCTATGATTCTTTAAATTTTATATAGTGTGTAAACAATCAGCCAGGTATACAAAAACATGTTTCATTATGCACATAAGCATTATCTGCGAAGAATTTTGTGAATATGTTCATACAAAATGAGTAAATTTGAATACAGCTGCAACAAAAAGTTCTGCCCACCCACTGCCAATCAATATCACAAAGTCAGTTTAATGACATTATTAAAAATTATTATTATTATTGACATTATCATTATATTATTTTATTATTATTTAAAATATCCCATAAGATTCGCGATAAGCTTGTTTCACTTTCACTACTTTTCATTCGCCAACTTCGTCAATACTTCCATTTTTTTTTTCTAATTGCACATTTTCACGTATACTCTCTGGCGAATAGAGATAGCTCGCTCATTTCTAACACCTGTGGGACACCCCCACCGCCATGGAATATTTGCCACGGATAAACGAAGTGAAATATACTCTGTCGCAGATTACGTTAACGAGTCACGCACCTGTAAACGAAACGTGTAAAAATTAGAGCATTTTCTCACTAAAATTCTGTCTCTTTCTTCTTGTTCTTGCTTTTAATATTTCATCATTCACATTACGTTTTCAATTTCGCTTCGATCACATGTAATCATCTTGAAGTTCAACCTGAATGATAATGAAATCATTTTATTTTTTCGACTCAAGTTCTATAACTTATAAAAGTTTCACAAAACTAACGATAGGCTTTACAAATAACGCTAAACACTCTTACTTCAAGTACCTGCTAATTTTCTCGTACCTCTAATACAGAGATTGAATACGTTATATTTAAACTATATGAAGCCTTACCACATTATTACAGTCCCTCTTGGATAGGCCTGTTTGATGAACGTTGATGAGCGTAGTCTCCATCTCCAAAGGCACCGTCGTAAGGTTGTCATGTTGAAAGCACACCGCTCTTCCCTGTTGGCTTTCCATAATCCAATTAGTTGAGCGGTATGCCGTGGAAACCTTTCATGAAAAATTCCAGATGTTAAGAGGAGAGCTTATGCAGATCTCATCAGAACAATACAAACTTCTAAATTTAACAAAAAAAATCATAGCTTACAACAATGTACTATTTTGATTAAATTGTATCTACTATTACTTGTATCTTATATTAATGTAAGATCTTTTTCTGATTATTTACTTTATATGTTCCTAATCTATCCTGAATTTCTGTCATACCTTCTAACTCTATATCAGGAAAGAAAACTGGAAGAGTTCTCTAATATGTAGATAAATAAAATTTTCTCGATAAGTATGTTCACAAATATAACGCAGGAAAGTCCTGCAGTAATTAACTCAGAAGAATAAACATACAATAATGTAAATAAGGTTCATTTTAAGTATTTTCTTCCCGGATGTTTCGTTTATTGTATATTGTTTTCGGATATTAGCACAAAACTAAACAAGGGTTATTTTTGGTAGCCGCCCCTAATTTTGAAAAGATAGACTAGAAGGAAGGCACTCACCCTTAACTTTTGTGGTACTCTAAAAGAATAGTGGGACTCAACCGTCACTAATACAATGAACTCATAACTCGAACGTAAAGAGCGCGATTTCATAGCAACGAGGCACACTAACCAATATGGTATGCCCGACTTTATTTTATTATATAATAATTTAACCATAAATTCTAAACACACGAGAAATCAGCGCATATGTAATCGACAGTCTAATATATTTTGGTTGGAATGATGACGTTTAAAAATAGTTTGTTATTCGATATTGTCAAAACACAACCACAAATAGAACGACTTATCGGAGGCATTGCACCATTTTTAAGTCAGTGCCCTCGAATCATAAATTTAGAATTAAATAAATATATATGAGAGATATATATGTATGAGAGATACATACTCCTTTTTATACAACGCTAGAAACCAGATTTCGATACCCGTAGTAGACAGAGCACAGATAGCCCATTGTGTAACTTTGTGCTTAACTTCAAACAAACAAAAAAATCCTTTTTTATACAATATACAAGATAAATTTAACTTTTGGTCATTTCCATAAATTTAGACAAAGGTTTTCATGCTGATAAAAAATAAACCATTAAACTTCTTTTTAACAAAAAATAATACAAAAACACATTTTTAGACCATGATTCCAAGCATTGACTGTATAAATTCTCCTAACTTCGTTAAGTCTGAGGTTCGCTTTCGAATAGTCATTATAATCGGGCCCCGAATCCCCGTCACACCAAACATGCTCGCCCTTTCAGCCGTGGGGGCGTTATAATGTGACGGTCAATCGCACTATTCGTTGGTAAAGGAGTAGCCCAAGAGTTGGCGGTGGGTGATGATGAATAGCTGCCTTCCCTCTAGTCCTACACTGCTAAATTAAGAACGGCTAGCGCAGATAGCCCTCGTGTAGCTTTGCGCGAACATCCGTTACAAAAAAACATTATAATCGATGTTGTGTAATGATTTTTGTTACAACGAACAGATGAAATCTTCAGCGTATAGTTTTGACATATTCTCATGTAGTATCGATCAGCAGAACTTTGTACCTAAAATAGTGCAAAATGTACAATGATACTTGGAAGTGTTGGTTGTTGTTAAACACAAAGCTATACGATGGGCTATCTGTGCTCTACCAACCACGGGTATCTAACACGATTTTTAGCATCACTAGTTTTTAGACTTACCGCTGAACCACTTGAACGAGAGATGGAAGGATAGACGTGTTGAAAGTCATCTACAAAATATCTTCTTAACCACTGTCATTATTGATTATTCAATGTATGAGTTCAGACGTTTGGAAACAGAAGGTAAAAGGTCAAGAAAACAAAATAATAATATTTAACCCATGACCCAAAGAGTGATACTATGAAATAACATAAAATTGTGACTTTTTTCAGCGTTCTGATTAGCACATTAGTAATGCTTTTGAAAGATATCTATTGTGATCAAATCACGCCATGTTCTAAACTTTAAGTAATATTCATAAATATGTCAAACATTGCAAGTATTGTTTTCCCTATAAGAACTGAGATGTAACGTATTTCCAATTAAATTAAACCCACATAGCTTCATCAGTATGATTTTTTGGTATGGGCGTTGTCAACATTCAATAGATAGAATGTTAATTTTCGTCTCATTATTATAATATCTTTTTTGAAAATAATAGTTTATTACGTATATAAAAAGTTCTCATTCTGTAATGTTAAAAATGAAACTGGAGTTTAGAGTGTTTTAAATTCTATCTTCTCTTACAGGAAATGGGAGATTCTGAAGAAACAACTCTTTGTGACAAAACAACTAAATATTCAGACTTTCTTAAAGATTGAACGTGCATAGTTTATTAAAATAAGATCAAATAAGAGATAAGAATTTCTCAGTTGCATTTTGAAAAGCAAATAACACTTTCCTTCGAGGTAAAGTCTTTATTTTACACATATCAAAGATAAAGCTGGAAGTCAACTTTGAGTCTTGTCTGATTAATCTTCCTGATCTCTACAACTGTTTAAGTTGTACATTTTGTATCCCAGGTGGAGCAAGGTTATCTTGAATCCCGTCTGGAATTAAAAGCAGGGAAAAATATATAAATAAATTAAAATGAGGTCAACCTAAGGCTTTTTTTTTAATCAATAATAGACCTTCAACAAAGAATAGAGGTTGAGTTTTACCTACCACTTTCCAAATTAAATTACCGTTGTTATATGGATGCTCTCCCCTGAAACTACGTTTCCGGTCTAATCAGTGAATCTAAGTTAAGGTCTAGCTGAATAGCCTAAACACGTTGTTGCATTATTTAAAGAAAGAGTATAACGTAGTTTCAGGGGAAAAACAGGCTTTTGGTATTTTTCGTTATTTTTAATTGAAAACGTAAGAGTCAATAACAGTTTCGACCCGTTTAGCTTAAAAGTTTTCCCCTGTCATTTTCATGTTTTTTTAAATAATAACAATTGTTCCTATGTTATTTTTATACAATAGAGAAATAACGTAAAATTCATTCTTACCAATCATTTAAAAATGAATGGAGAATGAAATTGTAAACAATGCATAAAAATATTTAGTACTATATTAATATAGAAATAAACAGGCGTCTTTTGTAAAGTTTCATGGTAAACACTGTTTATCTATACGTGCGATCTATTTATAAAGCAACGTAAACATTAATAAGTAACAACGGTAATCATGTTTTGTAAGGCCGGATTCTTTACAATAGGTGTCTATGACTTGTTGGCGATAAATTTCAACAATAAACGACAGCACACAATTCACTTATTCTAAAATTCGTTACGCTATTGGTTATCACAGGTTTATCCAGAGCTTTAAACAATTGTCTATTTTTCGTCAAAGTCCACACAGACGGGTTCAGTCACTTTAGAACACCCTTTCACCAAAACAAATTATTCTTCTCTATCTTTGTTGTTACAATACAAGCTGTGAAACTCCCTCCAAAATCACCACTATAATTGTTGGTTACCACAATCACCTAGTCTATCTTCACTTTCATTAACTTACTTCTTACTAAACTTTCTTACTTCTGTACCTGCACGTATTTATAACACGCAAAAGAAAAGTCTAGAAATATCTAGCTCACTAGTAACAGCAGTATTAAACATAACGAGAAAGACTTAGAAGCTTCAAGTAAGATGACGACAACAATATTACAAAAGCCAAGTACAACAATTAAATTGCATACACAACGTATGACTCGTAGAGTTACATAATAAGACTTATCATAACTATCGCTTTTAGCATAATTAACTTTGAAAACTCTTGTTATGAAAACTAAATAATCATTAAATATTAAATCATTAAATAAACTAAATAATAACTCTTAAACTGAACAGTCTTATATATCTAACAACAGTTATAAGGAAGTATTTGAAACTACTGCAATTTAATTTACGTGCGTTAATGTAATTAAGGGTTCAAGCAAAACATAATATTTGTTTAACTAGTCAGAAAGTCCATTCATAAACGCTGTGTCCTATTTTGCTTTTCCCCTCCACTCGTCTTCGAATTTAGAGCAAAAACAATATTGTACAAATAGGAACCCTACAATCCTGCGTGGGTTAAAAGAATTCTAAGAAATTATGACTGTAAGTAAAGAATATGTGATAACATTTCCACCAGATTACATCTGCCACATCCAGTCCTAATGAAGCTATTCGCCCAATACCAAAGCTCATCAAGCCGGCTGGGATACGACAAACACATTAATGGTCTAAGCGCTCTTTATTACCCCAATTTTCATCAACAACGACTGTTATGGTGTGAACTAAAGTAAGTAAGTGAATTGTAATTATTATTATCTATTTTATTTAAGTAGTTTACAAGACAAATTTTAGGGTAAGGATTAATAACATGATATTATTGATTTATTTATTTTTAATCATCGATAATTTATTTTTATTATTTTATTTGCATAATATATTTCTATTCAAAGGAACTGGCGAATCAGCAAGCGAGTCTTCTTAAAATATTAAAAAAAAAACAAGATACAGCGTTGATTGTTGCAAAATATAATTTAATTTACTAAAACAGAGCGTAGCCTTACAAAGATTCTACATGTTTCGTAGGTGCTCTACGCCTCCATCATGAGAATTAAGAGTTAAAAATCAGCTACTGACGCCCTCAGTGGCACAGCGATATATCTGCGGACTTACAACGCTAGAATAATGTTTTGATACCCGTGGTGGGCAGAGCACAGATAGCCCATTGTGTAGCTTTGTGCTTAATTACAAACAAACAAACAACTACTGACTTATATGTCTTACATAACATTCAATTTACACAAACATACATTAAACCCACAGCGCCATCTCGACCTCGAACACAATTGCACAACTCGTCATTAAATAAGCTTACAACACCGATTTCTAGTATTTCTCTCACACCTGGACCAAAATCTTTATTAAATATAATATTTTTGTTTTTCTCAATTTATCTTGGTTCTCTAACTTAATTCCCAATTAAACTCAACCTGATTTGTTAATTTCATATCTTCCCAGCTTATAACATGAGATATGCTTAAAGCATGTTCCGCTAAAGCCGATTCATTAACTTCACATTTATTTAGCTCCTTTTTATTTTAAATAATTCTAAATTTCAGATTCCTATAAATTATATCACATAGGCAAGGAATTTTGTTAATATCACATTTGTCAACTCGTTCTATTTTATCTTTTACTCCCGTGAGACAATTATTTGACTTACAGTGCAGAGAGAAAATTACCATACAATACTTTAATTACTGTTATATTACCTGTTCTTGTTCACATACCTTGAATATATGTCAGCAACTTTATCATTTTCTGTAATCTCGTAAATAGTGACATTATTAAATTATGATAATTATGCAACTCACCAGAAATTTCGGGATTGCAATCTCTGCACCTAGTTACATCTTATGTCGCGATCATAAGTACATATTTTCATTATTCTATATACAAACGTGGAAAAAGACAAACTATTTTGAGGTCAGAGGTGACATAATCTGTTATGTGACGGAACGGCCCGAAAACAGTTTGCTATAAACAGACATTGAGAGAAATCCATTATCGTGTTTGGCTGTTTTATCCCTGAAAGGCAAAAGATCGTTTTTTTTTGTCTTCAGTGAAAACCGAATAGTAAGACTAATTAAATTAAGATGTCCTTCACACTGTAATGTCCCCCAGTGGCACAGCGGTATGTCTGCGGATTTACAACGCTAGAAACCGGGTTTCGATACTCGTGGTGGGCAGAGCACAGATAGCCCATTGTGTAGCTTTGTGCTTAATTACAAACAAACAAACACACTGTAATAATGTATCTTTGTCATTCCGTCATCCACAGATCTTAATCACGCCAAAAGTTCATCACCAGAAGTATCTAATGCATCCATTTCGAATTTAAACATAAACAGTTCACATGGCAGGGAGACAAAACAGCTAAACATTCAGGCTTTTTTAAAAGTTAAACGTACATAGTTTATTAAATTAATCAAACAGGAGATAGGTTTACTCTGCTGCATTTTAAAGACAAATAGTATTTTCCTTCGAGATAAAGTCCTTATTTTATACGTATTAAACATAAAGCTGGGAGTCAACTTTGGGTCTTGTCTGATTAATTTTCATGATCTCTACATCTGTTTAAGTTCACAGAGCAGGTGAAGTAAGGTAATTTGAAATCCTATATAGAAAGACAAACAGGTAAGAAAAATATAAATAAATTATAATAAGGTTAAACTAAGAGTGTTTTTTCAATGATAACAGGCCTTCAACACTGACGAGAAGTGAAACTTTCTAATATCCCACTTTCTGTGTTCTGTATTCGTTGTATTCCAGCTGGTCAGAAGAGCTCTGGATTGAGCGAAACGCGTCGTCGGTAATGGAAATGACGAATATAGTGTGATTGAAATACTATTATTATACACTCTTCTAATTATTTAAAATCCATAAGGGACTAGATTAAGAATGTAAATTTAAAAAATAGAATATGCTTATCATAATTTCTTATAATAAGTATGATTATTTCAGCATTGTTTTTATCAAGCAATTTTAATAGAATTTATTTGATCCACAAAACAATAAAGAATATTTAAAATGAATATATTTACATTATTTTAACTAATACCCCGCTGTAAACATACCTGGATTATAATAGAAAAAAAATAATACGCATCTACTGATATTTCGTTTCATTAACGGTAACACTTCAAAAATCATATTCATTATCAATGATAAGATATTCATAAATAAACATAAAACATTTACTTTGAAGTGACAGGGATATCTATAATATAAATTAATGAAACATCTATAATAAGACATTATTTTCAATCAAGGTAATATAATCTTAGTAATTAGTTAATCCAATCTATCCATGTATGAGTTAGCAGAACAATATCATATGTGTAACATCCTTGTCTGGGTCCCCTTTCTTGCTAACCAATGGTTTCCAAAGCGCTAGATAGTACCCGATATATAATCCTAAATACAAAATGAGTCTCGGCATAAATTACTATTAACCACAATCATGTTAAACCATTAGAAAAGTCTTCTGTCCTCGCAGATCTTACTGTACTTTCCAAATCCGATTGTTGCCTTAAGTAGGAATGTAATTTTTCATCAAATTTTTACTTACGTCACACGTCAGAATTAGAGTAATGATTTTTTACACTATATTATTAATTCGTTTTGACATTATATATTATTAACTGTTATTTTATTGAATTATCCTGTTCAGAACTGGAATCAGTAAGATACTCTTCTTGATCTCGGAGCACGTAAAGGAACAACAAAGTCCACAAGAGAAGACTGAATTAATAATTATTAACAAGAACATCTGAGTGAAAGTAGGCAAGAGTGTATAATTTCATGTGAACCACAATATATCTGAAGTATCTACTGCTGACTAGGCTTTTCGCCCAATACCAAGGATATTTAAGACAGCTAGAATAACTAACGAGATAAAGGGCTTGGACAGGAATATTACACACTATACACTGTTTTATCATTTCGTACATAACTTAAGTAGTTTGTAAAAATAAGTTTCAAATCTGTCGACGTTCTATCTAATATAA